CACAGACTGTGCAGTGGGGAGGTGCAGAACTCCCTGGGCTCTGGCCATCCATGGGGGTTCTGCTGTTTCACTCCTGCTGGAATGAGGAACAGGATCGTGCCTGTGTTTACAGATGGTGCCTCTAAATCTCTGGTGATAGATAGAGTGTTTGCTGACTTTAAACAGAACAAAACAACAAACAAACACACTCCCTGACCCAGAATTTGACATTTTTGTTTCTTTCTCGCCAGATGCAGCCAGTTGATCTCTTGGGTATCACAATCAAAACCCTTGCAGAAATTGAAAAGGAGGTAAGTGGCCTGCCAGGCACTGAGCAAATCACGAGGGCTGTGTTCACCTCTTCTTAAGAACCCTTCCCTTATGGAAAGTACTTTTCTTGTCTCTCCCAAGTCACAGAGGATGGATAAAGTCAAGCAGTAAGCCCAGGGTCAGGGATGCCCTCTAGATCTGTGATGAGTGAAGACACTTCAGGTGGTGAATTTAATGGCAAGGTGTGGGGCCTTCTGCTCAGGTGGGACTGCCTGTGTCTGTCAGGAGCCCCTGGGAGCAGGGGGTGCTCAGGGCTGGTGGCCCCTCCACATGCCTGTCTGCTCTCCTACTCTTGCCCTGAGCTGGCCAGGGAGCAGTGGTCTCTTTGGGGGAATCCATGTGGTGCTGAATTTGCTGCTGCAAATCTCTGTGTGCTGCCTGCAGGGGTGTGGGCTGCACAGCCCTGCTTGTGCCCTCACAGGCCTTGGAGTGGGGGGACACCAGCACTGGAATATTTGTGTGGGCCAGGGAGGAGAGGCCAATACCTGCCTGCTGTCCCACAGCTCCTGCTCTGTGGCAGGCTGTGTGCGTTCCAGTGTAATGAAAAGTATGATTATGCAGCCCATATTCCTTGATGAAGCATCTTGTCTGCACATAGAGAGCTACACATATAAATATTGTGAATTTCGGCATGGCTTTATTTCCCTTGCAAGCAATAGCGCCATTATAGCAAATCTTCTGGATATCCAAAGCAGCCAGAACATTCTCCCTGGAGCAAGATGCCTTGCAAAAAATATTCCCAAAGAATTCCAAGAATTACTGTTCTCTGTCACCACATTTGCAGATGTATGCACCCATCCTCCAAGCTGAAGGCAGCTGAATTTCAGGACTCTACCCTGTCAGGAAAATGATGGAAATAGATACAAATCCTGGACTGCACGTGGGCTGCTGTCGTTGCCCCAGGATGGCACAGCTGTGCCCAGGGGGGTGCACAGAGGGCTGGGCTGTGCAGAGGTGGTGAAGTGCAGGTCTAAGTGGCACATGCCATCACTTGATGGTGAGTTTGGTGCATGTAGGACAGAGAGGAGAGTGCAGGACAGACAGTGCTGCTGCCAGCTCTCCCAGCAGGGCTCTGGGGGTTTGTCCTTGCCACCCCTGCCTGTCCTGGGTAGGCTGGAGTCACTGAACAGGCACAGGGGCAGGTGCAGGTGGTAGCAGAGATGGTGGCACTGTCACTGTTCACAGCTCTGTGTGGATGCTGTGGCAGTGAGGGCAGGGTTCTGGCCACTGGCAGGGTGCACCCTGTCTTCATTTGTGCTTGGTGTGGTGTGAAAAGTCTAGAGAGAGTCTAATTAGTAAAGGGAGCATCCAATATTCATCATTCCTTTTAAACTGATAAGGAAGGCAGTTCGTTTAACCACTGAATTGCTACAAGTTTTCATGGGCTGCTCTTTGCAAACATATTTAATGAAGAAGTTGTAAATCTAGAACAGCTTAAAATTTTAATTTTACACAGAAATATTTTTCCTTGTTTGCATGTTTGTAGTCAATTCTCCTGAGTGCAGTCACATGAAATGTTCTTTAAATGAACATATTTGCTAACTGGCATGATTTCAGATTTTAAAACATTGGTTCCAGCAATTAGGAGTTTCCTCAGTTCCCCAATGACTGGAGAGATTCGTCTTGATTATAATTGCTCTTAGCCACGCATATCTAATTTGTGTCTTTTTAAGTGTTAATTAGTAAACAGTTTGAGCTGACATCTTTATGCGTTTGGGTGTTGAAAAATGAGGCCTTATTGCGTGTGCCAGCGGCTGCAGCATCGCGACAGGAGGTGTGGCCGTGGGAGTAAAGGCGTGGTACAGCCCGGGTATAGACCTGGTATAGACCCGGTATAGACCCGGTATAGACTTGGTATAAACCTAGTATAGATCCGGTATAGACT